CTAGATTTCTGCTCAGCTTTAAGTTGGCCGGGCAGTGGCGAGCACTCTTGCTGAGCTGACACTTCCATTTGTCTGGATTCTAGTGGTGTAAAAGGGAGCAGGCTGGCACTGCCATGCACCCACATCTGTGAGCATTAACAACACAGGCCTGTCAGACCTTTTATTTATGGAAGACGTTGGATGCCTAAATTAAAAAACTAATTAGAATAATTAATTAACCGCCTGTTAAATAATAATGGCAAAAGCGGTAATGATTCAGTGATATGATGAATGATGTGAAACGTTACTTACAAATCACTCGCTCCTCTCCCACTTCACGCCTCTCCTGTACCTGCCTGAACACGCCGTGTTTTAGATTTCCAACGACTATCCGACTAATTAAAGGTTCGTCAACTAAGACACTTCTCGTCGACAGTTTAGTTGACTATTAGGGAACAGGCCTAGTACTAATTGAATGAAAAACATTTGTGCAATTAATTAGCTTTTTGGCAAAAAAAACTGAACTGAACTGTTTTTCACTGTGACATTCAATTTGAATAAAAAGGAAATTACAACACAGAAAACAAAGTGAGGACTAGTAACGTTACGCACAGCAACATTTATCCACCCTTTGGTCTCACATAGAGCCCAATCCCAATCTCCACACTCACGGATGGATGGATGTCGAGGCGTGTTCCCGTTATGTACGCAAGACTTAGGGCTGTCCCACAGTTGTCAAGTTGTGACGTTTAAACACAATTGTAGGCTACGTAACACATTTTGCAATATGAGAGTAATATGACCTTTATTTATCCAGCAAGAACAAAATTATACTAGTATTTTATATGGTTGAACTGGAATTAAAACATTTAAAGACTGATGTATCTAAATCAGACAACTAAAAGGAAGTAAAAACCCCAAACAATAAAGATAAATACTAATAATAAAACAGATAAGACATGTTGGCAATATATACTATATCTACCTTGCGGACTTCTGCTAGCATTAGCTCATCCTCCTCCATTACACTCATGGATGTATGAAGAGAGCTGGGTACGGTGCGGCCACTCAGCTTTACTGCCAATTTGTCCCAGTGGAGTCGGCAAACCTGGAAGTTAGAAAATGTTTTTGGCTCATGGGCTCAGCAATTTTCACTTTAGTGAATGGGTGCACTGTTGGAGTCCAGTATCCAGCTCATATAAAACATCATGGGGATTACGAGATCTGCCCATGGTTCCACCCTCAGGCTTAGTTGATTGACTGAAAAAAAGTTTCCTTCCACCTTCTCTGAAAACAAATTATGGGCAGGTCTGTGCTGCTTTCTTCTGGAAATACACGTCTTTACTTTGTCCTGTGTGGAATGGAAAACGAGGAGCCATAGAAAGCATCCTGACTGGAAACAACACAAACTAGCCATATGTGCACGGCCCAGGAGAGGAGGACTCTGCAGCGGGTGATTAAAACCGCCCAGAAGAACATTGGTACTCAGTTGCGAACCCCTAACTGCTACATAACAGTGTTGTGAATGTTATCTAGAGCTATGTTGGATGTTACAGGGACATGTTGTGGACAGTTTTCACAAGTTAGTTAGTTTATTAAAATAAATCCCAATATATCTCCCTGCTGCATTGTAATATATTGAATAGTAACCCCGTATCGTGATGCAACACATTGTACCTCCAAATTCCTGCCGATACGAAGCCCTGCATTGTAAGGGACAATAATATAACCTTGAATCCTTAAATCTTCTATAGTATTTCCCCTTTACTGAATCACTCAAGCTCGTTTAAAGGAAGTTGTTCCTGAGATGCGAGTCGCCGTGGCAACGTTCAGCTCCTCCTCATAAGCTGCATCTCCTCTAACTGTTCTGAAAGATAAAAGTCACCGGATTTAAATGCATCTCTCCTTGATTTATAAGCTGCCTGTGCACGTGCACACACACAGACTAACAGCTGGATCAAAGGTCTCTTTCACCTTTTCATCATCCGATTCTACAGAATATCTGAAGATGTTTATCTGAGATACAGTAAGCATTACTGTACGCAGCATTTTCAGTATGCAGAGTGGTCTGAATCCATCTCGTCCTCTGCAGGGGAAGATAAGAACCTCCTTCATGAATAAAGATGTTTCTGCATCCTCTCCTCTCTCTGTGTTCAATATGTACTTGTTACAGCGGCCATTATTTATAGTCCCACTAAGGCCCAGAGTGGTGAGAGTGGGTCTCATGGGGGATTGGGAAGTGGAGCCACTGCTACCTATAGTGGGAAAGATATACCACCTCACCCCCGCTGAGAACTTCGTGCTGGAAATGAACTCATAAATCAAGCAGTAAATTGAGTGTAGGGCTGTGCTTACTCATCTCAAGAGGTCCGCTCCTCTTCCTCCACACACCTCTGCTCCTTTTTACTGAATGACTAATGCAACGCCGCAACTTCTCTGGCTGTGTGTTCGTCTGGTAAACTCTTATCAAACCGTGTGGATTTTATTTTCAAGTAAATATCATAACTCTGGCCTGGAGGCTACAGTGAGTGCAGGGAGGGGAATAAAACTGCACTAGTCTAGCTGGGATTCCAGAAACAAGCGCATCAACATCTCGTCCTACAGCTGAACTTCACTGCCTCATTGTGATGCCGCTGGTGAGAGCTGCCTGTCTTTACCCGGACACAGCCTGTGAGGAAGAATCTCCCCTGCCCGCCTCAGGCTATCCTGACAGTCACAGGCCCTGTCCGGAGGAATTAAAATCTCTATTTATCAGGACTCGACTGAAGCCGTCTGGGGACTGGCCGAGGAAATGGCACACAGTCGGCCTCTTCCAGCAGTGGGACTCTGTTGGAGAGTTCAACACGCTGGGATGTGCCCATGCAGGTTGTTTCTTGACAGACTTAAAAAAAAAAAAACACACACTCTCATCCCAGCTTCACACTTTGTTTCACTTTCTTTTAGTGCTGTGCCAGCATCTGCATTGTCCTGAATGCGAATCACTCTTTAATCTTGTGCTTAAAAGACTCATCCAAAGAACAATTTGAAGACTGATCCTTGAATACAAGCAGCGTACGTGCATGTGCAAGTGTGTGGATCCACCCTGCTGCGCACTGCTCCCCATTAAAGCGAGGGACTGTGTCGCCTCCTGCAGCTGCTCTCCATCACAGCAGCAGTAGGCAGCATCTCCTCTGACAGAGGAAGGAGGCCAGGAGGGAGCAATCGCCATCACTCCTCCACCATAAAGCCACAGCGGCCCGCAGAGAGCCGAGATCAGATCTCTACTGACCTCCGTTGGTGAAATGATGCACGTGTTAGAGAGGAAATCCACTGATCACATGTGCACAGATCAGATGTTCAAAGGTTGGCTCGTCAAAATCACAAAGAACACCTGCGACAGAATGTGTTGTTGTGTGATCTGGGTGACCTTTAACCTCTTGCTTTACAAAAACTCTTAATAGGTATCTCTCTATATTTTTATACTCCAATATCCTTGAAAAAAAAATTAGTTCAAGGCGACGTAAATGTTATAAAATGACATTTTAAATCTTCTTTTGCATTGGAAAGTAACATTTACTTACATTTACTTTAATGTACAATATGTGATTTCTACTGTTAGGGGGTCTCTCACATCAAAACAACAACAAAAGACAAAGTTTGTCGAAGCAGCGTGGGATCATTGAGAGTTGTTGTCTTCACCACCATCGCTGTCACTGCAGTCAGCTTCTCCCGGTTAG